AAAAAAAAAAAATCAAGCAAACAGAAAAACAAAAAACATTGAATCCCTACCTCACTCCATAATTACAATAGAATCCAACTGGATTAAAGACTTCAGGTGAAAAAGCAAAATTATTAAGCTCTTAAAAGGTAATAAAGGGGAATATCCTCATAACCTTGGAGTAGGGAAGTATTTCTTAAACAAGATCAGCACATAAAAACACTAAAGATAAAGGAAGTTTTCATAAAAATCAACCACAATCAAATTAACACATTTGGTTTATTAAAAGACACTCTAAAGAGCCTGAAAAGACATGCAATAGGACTGCAAAATATATCTGAACACATATAACTGGGAAAGTCTGGTAACCAGAATATTAAAGAACTCTTACAATTAAGAAAAGTATGTGGGTGGGGGGATGGGGTAATTAGGTGATGTGCATTAAGGAGGGAACTTGATGTAATATAGGTGTTATATGCAACTGATGAATCTCTAAATTCTACCCCTGAAACTAATACTACAATATATGTTAACTAAATTGAATTCAAATAAAAAGTTAAAAGAAAATAAATGTATGGACAACTCAGTAGAAGAAAATGAAAAAAATTGGCAGAGGCACTTCCTAAGAGAAGAAATTAAAATGACCAGGAAATAGATGAAAGGTTGCTCAACTTTATTAAAGAAATGCAAATTAAACCTGTAAGGAAATTCAAATTAAAACTATAAGGAAATATCACCAGATGGACAAAAATTTAAAAGTCTGACAATGCCAAGTGTTGCAGTGGATAGAAAGTCACAGGAACTCTAATAATCTGCTGAAGGAAGTGCAAATTATTATACTTGAAGATACAGAAACCTAAGATCCAGCAATGCCATATGTGGCAAATACCTTGCAAATATTATGCATAGGTGCACCAATATACATGCTCAAGAATAGTCATGGCCAAAATCAGGGAACAAGTCAAACGATCACGAGCTGTAGTGTGGTAGATGTCCACTCACACCACTGTTGTTTAACATGGTACTGGAGTCCTAGCCTCAATAATCAAACAACAAAAATAAATAAAAGGCATCCAGATTACAAGAAGTCAAGCTTTCACTATTCACAGAGGACATGACATGCTATGTAAAAATCCAAAAGACTCCACAAAAAATTACTGGAACAGATACACAAATTCAGCAAAGTCACAGGATATAAAATCAATGTACATAAATCTGTTGCATTTTTTTATTGTTTTGTTTTATTTTTATTTATTAAGATTCAATTAGCCAAGGTACAGTACATCATTAGTTTTTGATATAATGTTCACTATTCATTAGTCGAGTATATCATCAAGTGCTCATCATATCACATGCCCTCTTTAATGTCCATCACCTAGTTACCCCATCCCCTGCCCCACCTCTGTTGCATTTCTATACACCAATAATGAAGCAGCAGAGTGAGAAATCAAGAAATCGATCCCATTTAAAATTGCACGAAAAACCAAAAGATACCTACAAATAAGGTTAACCAAAGAGGTAAGGGATCTATACTCTGCAAAAATTGAACACTAATGAAAAAAGCCGAAGAGGACACAAAGAAAAGGAAAAATATTTCATGCTCATAGATTGGAATAAAGACATTGTTAGAATGTCCATACTACCCAAAAGCAATCTACACATTTAATGCAATCCCTATCAAAATACCACCAGCATTCTTCACAGAGCTAGAACAAACAAGCCTAAAATTTGGATGGAACCAGAAAAGACTCCAAATAGCCAAAGCAGTCTTGAAGAAGAAGAGAAAACCTGGAGGCATCACAATCCCAGACTTCAAGCTATATTACAAAGCTGTAGTCATCAAGACAGTATGATCCTGGCACTAAAATAGACACATAGATCAATGAAACAGAAAAGAAAGCCCAGAAATGGATGCACAACTATATGGTCAACTAATCTTTGATAAAACAGGAAAGAATATCCAATGGAAAAAAGACAGTCTCTTTAACAAATGGTGTTGGGAAAATTGGACAGCCACATGCAGAAGACTGAAACTGGACCACTTTCATACAACATACAAAGAAATAAATTCAAAATGGAATAAAGACCTAAATGTGAGACAGGAGACCATCAAAATCCTAGACAAGAATACAGGCAGGAACCTATCTGACCTCGGCTGTAGCAACTTCTTACAAGACACATCTCTGGGGGCAAGGGAAACAAAACCAAGTGAACTTTTGGGACTTCATCAAGATGAAAAGTTTCTGCACAATGAAGAAAACAATCAACAAGACAAAAAGGTAACCAATGGTATGGGAGAGGATATTTGAAAATGACATATAAAGTGTTAGTAACCAAAATCTATAAAGAACTTATCAAACTTAACAACCAAAAAATAAATAATCCCGTTAAGAAATGGGCAGAAGTCATGAACATTTTTCCAAAGGAGACATAAAGATGGCTAACAGACACATGAAAACATCCTCATCATCAGGGAAATACAAATCAAAACTACACTGAGATATCACCTCACACCTGTCAGAATGGCTAATATTAACAACACAAGAAACAACAGGTGTTGGTGATGATGCAGAGAAGGAGAACCCTCTTACACTGTTGGTGGGAATGCAAACTGGTGCAGCAACTCTGGAGAACAGTATGGAGCTGCCTTGAAAAGTTAAGAAATAGAACTACCCTATGACTCAGCAATTGCACTAGTAGGCATTTACCCAAAGAACACAAAAATAGTGATTAAAAGAGGCACATGCACCCCAATGTTTATAGCAGCATTAAATTCAAAAGCCTAACTATGGAAAGAGCCCCAGTGTCCACTGAGTAATGAATGGATAAGGAAGATGTGGTATACATATACAATGGAATATTACTCCACCATCGAAAATAATGAAATCTTGCCATTTGCAATGGCATGGATGGAACTAGAAGGTGTTATGCTAAGTGAAATAAGTCAGTCAATGATAAATGCCATATGATTTCACTCACCTGTGGAATTAAGAAACAAAACAGATGAACATAGGGGAAGGGAAAAAAAGAGAGGGAGGCAAACCATAAGAGACTCAACTATAGAGAACACACTGAGGCTTCCTGGAGGGGAGGTGGACAGAGGATAGGCTAAATGGGTGATGGATATTAAGGAGGGACTTGTGATGAGCACTGGGTGTTATAAGTAAGGGATGAATTACCTCCTGAAACCAATATTGCACTATATGTTAACTACTTGGAAATTAAACAAAAACATTTTTTAATGTGGAATGGGTAAATAAATTGTGGTATGTTCATACAAAGGGATTTTTTTATTATTTTTTATTGTTATGTTAATCACCACACATTACATCATTAGTTTTGGATGTAGTGTTCCATGATTCATTGTTTGTGCATAACACCCAGTGCTCCACGCAGAATGTGCCCTCTTTGATACCCATCACCAGGCTAACCCATCCCCCCACCCCCTCCCCTCTAGAACCCTCAGTTTGTTTTTCAGAGTCCATCGTCTCTCACGGTTCGTCTCCCCCTCCGATTTACTCCCCTTCATTCTTCCCCTCCTGCTATCTTCTTCTTCTTCTTTTTTTTTTTCTTAACATATATTGCATTATTTGTTTCAGAGGTACAGATCTGTGATTCAACAGTCTTGCACAATTCACAGCGCTCACCATAGCACATACCCTCCCGAATGTCTATCACCCAGCCACCCCATCCCTCCCACCCCCCACCACTTGAGGAACCCTCAGTTTATTTCCTGAGATTAAGAATTCCTCATATCAGTGAGGTCATATGATACATGTCTTTCTCTGATTGACTTATTTCACTCAGCATAACACCCTCCAGGTCCATCCACGTCGTTGCAAATGGCAAGATCTCATTCCGTTTGATGGCTGCATAATATTCCATTGTGTATATACACCACATCTTCTTTATCCATTCATCTGTTGATGGACATCTTGGCTCTTTCCACAGTTTGGCTATTGTGGACATTGCTGCTATAAACATTGGGGTGCACGTACCCCTTTGGATCCCTACATTTGTATCTTTGTGGTAATTACCCAGTAGTGCAATTGTTGGATCATATGGTAGCTCTATTTTCAACTGTTTGAGGAACCTCCATACTGTTTTCCAGAGGGGTTGCACCAGCTTGCATTCCCACCAACAGTGTAGGAGGGTTCCATACAAAGGGATTTTATATACAATAAAAATGTTCTACACCCAGAAGCAACAACATGGATGAATTTCACAAACATATGCTGAAGAAATGAATAAATATATAAAAGAACATATAACATGTTTCTATAAATTTCAAATATTGACAAAACTCAACAGTTTTTTCTAAGGATGTGCTCATGGGTGATAAAACCATAAAATATACAAGGAATTGATTATCACGAAGTCAGAATACTGGTTATGTTGGGGAGAGAGTGAGGTTTTGATGAGGAAATGAACATGGAGGGAGAACTTCTGGGGGTGCTAGCAGTGTATTATTTCTTGACCTGGATGCTATATGTTATTTGTTTAATATTATTCATTAAACTATACATCTGCTTTATGCACCTCTCTCTCTCTCTCTCCCCTTCAGAATTGTGTGTATGTGTGTTTACATGCCATCATAGAAGAATTAAAAAGAACCTACTATAACCCAGGGCAGGGAAGAGGCCATTAGAGAACAAGGGAGCTATTTACCTGGGTTCCTAGCACTCGTCGGTAGGACAGCCCTGCTGGGTAGTAGAAGTGGATGACAGTACCATAGGAATCCTCACCCTCATTCCACAGAGTCACTGTCACATTAAGCTCCAGGGAGCTCCCTACCACCAGGGTCTGCAGGCTGGAGGAGGAAGGACAAAACTGAAAAAGAGACTCTGCTGGAAATAGGTTGGAATTGGATCAACGGTAGGGGCAGGACTGTGGGAACTCATGCACTGATAACATTCTATTCAAAATTTAATTTCTTTGTTAGAAAGAGAGGCAAAGGGAAACATAAGCATTTCTCATCTCATGGGGATGGGAGACCGAAAAGCTTAAGTGTCTAGAAATGAAAGGAGATAGAGCTCACCCTGAGAAGCTGAGATTGATACTCAGGTCCCCTTCACAGAGGTGATCTTGACCACAGTTCTTCTCAAAAGGGAGCTGCAGAAAAACAGTAGATTCTCTTCCCATCCATGTCTTAATCTTTGTCCATTCCCCTCACTAGGAGCACTCATCCTGAGCGCTCATTATTGAATATTACTGAGCACCCACCCCACACCAACACTGTGCTAGACACTGTCAAGAAGTGGGGCAGAAAGGGAGGGGCAGAATGATAAGATCCTTGGCTTCAAGGAGCATAAAGTTTAGTTCAGGAGTTAAATCCAACTCACATTGGAACAACTATTCAACAAACATTATCAAGTGTCAATAAGAGACAGGTTCTGGGTTGGGTGGGGAGTTAGGAAAAGCAGAAACTACAGGTGAATTAGACATGGCTCTTGTACTCACAGAACCCACAATTCCCAGAGAGCCACAAAAGTAGATGCCGATTGCTATGATTCCAGTCATGTAATATTTGGTATCACCATGATGTAATAGGAAGCCAGGGAAGAAGAAAGAGAGGCTGAATGTGATTTTCAAAAGGGGGGAAGATAAGACTGGGGCCTAGAGAACTAGAAAGGATTTTTGAGGTGGAGAGAAGGAAATGTTTTCCAAGTAGGAACTACAACATGGACAAAGAAACAGAGGAAGGAATGACAAAAGTTGGGAAGGATTTGGAGAATGAGAATCAGAGAGTTTATGTTGAGGTAAAGTGGTGACCAGCTGGGATGTGTGTAAGAGTCCAAGCTAGGCAGGGCCTTGGTAACTGGGTGGAGGCATTATGGACTTAATGTGGTTGATGGAAAGTTGAGAACCACAATAGGTTCTTAAGACACAGAGACACAGTGAAAATCAGTACATCCCTGGGATTTCATTGGAAGACTCACAGAAGCAGTGAAGAGGTCCTGTGAGCCCACAGCCAGCACAGGGCGAAGGTTGTGAGATGAGGGGATGGGCTCCCCCACCAAGGAGAAGTTGAGGCGTAGGATGATGGGATTCACCACATCTTCCACACAGTCCTGAGGGAGAATGGGCTTTCAAGAACCCACTACCCTTCTCGTTACTTTCCACCACTGGCCCTTCTGCTCAACTGCATCCATTCCCACTGTCAGGACAGCATTCTGTCCTAGCTGTGGAGTCAGGTTCCTGGCCTCAACTTTCCTCTCTCCAGCCCCAATATCCCCACCCTCTTGCCCTCACTCAACAGGGAGCAGAGGTGCCAGAGGCTCACCTTGGGCTCCTTCTCCCCCTCCCTTTCCCAGAACCCAAAGTCCTTACTGGTAAAAGCAGCTTAATGGTTTCACAGTAATCTCCCATCCCCAGGGTTTTCCTTCGAGTCAAAGTCCAGTTCTTGGTCTCATCAAAAATGGCACGAGAAATCAGACGGCCTGGGTCTAATGCCAGATCATACCTGACGGAGCTTTGGACATCACCTGAAGCAGAAGGGAGGAACAGAAGATGAAAAGTCCAAGAGAACCTCAAATGTTCTGTTTTTGTTTATTTATGCAACAAACATTTGCTGAGCACTTCCTATGGGCCATGATCTATATCGGGTGCTAGGATATGTGTGGAGAAGATACAGAAATATGGTCCCTGCCATCACATAGCTCTCCGTCTAGGAAAAGAGATGAGCATG